TGGGAGCAATATTAGTCTGACAGAGAGACAGTACCTATTCATCACCACTACAGAACTTCTCTCTGTTTTACTTCCTTTTCTCTATAGTTTATTCTGAAAATAAATAGATTCAGGAGGAGGACTTCTGAGTTATAGAGATATCCACAACAAAATTCAAACAGTTGTTCAAATGTGGGAAAAAAATGTGAGCAATACTTCTATATTACAGGGGTGGAAAGGCGTCGCTCGCTGAGATAAACCCACAAAGTTATCACATAACAAGTTGCACTAAGCTCTGTGGAGCGATTTGGCATCTTTTGGCTCATTGCTTTGGTTGTCTAGCCTGTAACATTACAGTTTTGCTTCTCATAGCACAGTTTCCAGACACAGCTGTTTCATGCAGCACCAAACAGCAGACAGAGTTGGCTAATAGCTGGTGAACACAGTGAAGAATTTAGTGGATAAAGAGATGCATTTTTCCCCTCAGGAGTTGACTGAGATGGAAACAGAGCTAAAAGGAGAGTAAATATTGGCCTTTCATTCAGGTGGGAAGAAACATGACTCCAAGTGAATGCTAATGTTCACTGTAATAATGTTATAGGCAGGGTTTCCGAGCAGCGTCATCAGGGAGATGTACATGCAGGCAAGATGATCCCAGATGACTGAAGGCTCGTGAAGGGATCAACATGTAAAATTGGTTTTGTGCCTACAACTGCACAAACTATGAAAGTAATGAACAGAAGATCTTCTTTATCTCAAGAAGGGAACCTGGCTTTTAGCTCAGAGTGCGCAATTACACGTTAGCTCCAGCAATCTGAGCTCTGGATCTTTATAAAGACTCTGGATAGTTTTACAGTGGACCTGCAGAAATAAACATTGGTTTTTATGTCATCTCACACAGTTACTGTATGTTTAAGGCTTTTTTTTTTAATGAAAATTGCTAAGGCTCTGTGTTTGACATGCATTTACAGTTTCAACTTGGGAATAGGTGACAGTTTAGAGAACAGCATACTCATTACTGAAGATGTGTCATGAGGATATGCTTATAATTCTCAACAGAAAAAATTGAAACAGGAATGCAGAGTGCGGTTTTATGAGCCTGTGTGTCCAATCAATAATACCGGCTGTATCGACACAGTTTATTAATTGTTGTTGACCACAGACACATCATTGTTCTGTACCAGTAGAGCTAACTTTGTGTATAGCCTTATTTAGTAACAAAACACTGCTACTGCATCGTTTCTTACTGGAATAATCATGTTAGCCACTAGAGGTTTATAAAAAAAAAAAAAAAAAAAAAAAGTGTGTTGAATACACACCAACCTCTAAACGGTTTTCCAGCAAGCCGCTTTAAGTCTCACAAGTGAAAATGTCTGTATATAAAGCTAATACAACACAGCACAGCGGCGCTGCTCCCAACCTGGTGAATCATCTGACTCAACGAATGTCCTGTTTCCAACTCTTCAAAGTAGGTTATGGTTCTTCTCTTTGCTAATGGATAACCATTACACCAAACTGTGAGAAAATAAATTGGGAGAAAGTATTTGGGATTTGACACCACACATGGAAAAAATATTGGGGATAATGGTACGATATAGTTCTGTAGCATGCAGTTTCCTGTAATGTAAGCATGTCACAAGAGCTTGTCACCCAGTGAGGAAGCATACTCACTGCAAATGAGCAGAATGAGGGGTTTTTCGACAACACATCTTAGAATTAAGGCTGCATTCAAGTTAATTATATGCAAGTTTAATTTGCTCAAATTAGATTTTTTTTTAAAGTGGCTGCCCCTATCACATGTAATCACATGCAAACACAAAATGCGGAATAATGTAGCAAGGAACAGAATGAGAAAACTAATTGGTTTAAATCTTTGTGGCCGTGCTAAGAAAAACAGTGGAGACTATCTGATGGCAATAGACACATAAACATGTCTGTTTTTATTATAAATAAAAGCCTTTTCTTTTAAATAACAAATGCCAGCACACCTTGACACTCTCTCTTTCACACACACATTAACTGAAAACCCAGTGGAAGACTCCTGTCCAGTGTGGCTCTCTAGGCTGCTATAAATCAGACAGCTTTCACAGACTCGCCACCTGGCAAGCAGCTGGTAGAAAAAAAAAGCCCAAAAGAGCAAATGCAATAACAGATCAGGTCTAATGAAACAATAGATACAAGAAAAGAGGAGGAAAGAGGGAAAGGGCAACAACAGGACACTGATAAAAAGCCAAAGTACACAAAGTGCATCTTGGCAGTTAAAAGGGGAGGGCAACTCAGGTTGAGAATTTAAATCCATTTGCCTGAAAGCCCTAGCAATTCAGATGCCGGTTGTAGTTTTACACAGAAAAATATTATGTGTGTACACAGCATCTCCTTGTAGGTGTAATCATACCTTCCATGTGTCCTCTTGATTGAAAAGGATGTCCAGCCTTACCTAGTAATGAATATTGATCCGTGCTAGGAAATTCTCTTTTCAGTCAAGATTCAGACTCAAGGACTCTTCAGCAAGGCCAGCTGCCTACCAGAACCCATGTCCCTGAGTTGAAGGATAACCTCCCTGCTCATTACATGACACCTCCCACCACGATGTCTACATTGTATTGTCACATTTTTACAAAGGTCACTCCTCTTTTGCCTCCAGCTATGACTGCAGTGCATGTTTTACAGACTGTACTGTCCTGCTGGGAATGCTGAATTGAGGCTCTGCAGCGGTGCTCCCCTTCAGCTGCCAGAGCTGCTCTTGTTCTTTGACAGACTCACATTAAAATCAAGGTATAAATGATGGGACGCTTCTAATCCTGCACAATAGTGAAATAATTGCACGCAAGATCAAAACTGCAGTGCAGGAAATTCCTTCCTAAAGCTCCAACACTACACTTGCTGGTATAAAGGATCACATTTAGTCTCTGCTCTCCTGACATAGTGACTTCAAAGCCTTTCCTGCGGGAAGCGCTAACAGTATAATTAAATCTAGACAGAAGATAGCAGAGCACACACCTCCTAAATGGCCATCTTATCTTCTCCAGCCTGACAAACTGTCATGCCGTCTCCTCCATTTGTATATAATGGCATGGTGGAGGCAATGACAACACAATGATAGGTAATTGTGAGGAGGTGAAGGCTTAGGCGTGGAAAATGCCAGAAGCGACAGTGAGGTGAGACAGATGGGTGAAGCTAGAGAAGCAGAGGCCATGAAGGAATTTTGTCGTCCATATTATGAAAAGGCTTGGCTTTATTTGACTAACAAACACATTTACGGTGTTCTTTGTAGCTAACAGGCACACCACACCGGGGTCACATAACAATAATATCAAAGTTTGAGATGAACACCTTACCTAATCGTTCTTCAACAGAAACACAAGAGTGATCAGTTGTTGCAAAACTTCAAATGACCTCAGTCGATAATACACAATTAAATGTGCCAAGGAACAGAACAGCATTCATCTGGAAGCTCAGTATACAAGTTAATGATGTTCACCCATTATTTGGCCCCAGAGTGCAAGGCCATGTCATCTTAAACCTTCAGAGCCCCACAATGAGCGACATCATTTTTCAGACCTAACCTACCCTTAACGCAGAGCATCCCTGAATCCTGTCCTCACCTTAGCAAAGAGCAGATATGTGGCTTGACACACAGTATCTGTGTTATATCTCTCAGGACTTGAAGTGCACAACCAACATCAGTGCCATTTTTAAAAAGGCGCAGCAGAGGATGTACTTCGTGCGTCAACTCAGGAAATTCAACCTCCCTCAGGAGCTGCTGATTCAGTTCTATAGGGGAATCATCGAGTCTGTTCTCTGTAGTTCCATCTCTGTCCGGTTTGGCTTGGCAATCAAACAGGGCAGGAACAGACTCTAGGGGACGGTTCGAACTGTGGAGACAATCATCTGTGCCAGCCTGCCCTCCATGGAGAACCTGTACACCTTATGGGTCACAAGTAGGGCAGAGAGGATTTCTGCAGACCACTTACATCCTGGACACAAACTCTTTGAACCCCTCCCATCTGGACGGCGTTACAGGTCACTGTGCACCAAGACAACCCGACACAGAGACAGTTTCTTCCCCCGGGCTATTACACTATTGAACAGCTAGTCTATGTTTGCTCTTTTAACTTGTATATATTTTGTATTTATTTAGTTTTTATTGCTTTGCACATCGGGGCCATTGGGCTGGAGTCAAATTCCTTGTATTTTTTGCTAATACTTGGCAATAAAATTTATGCTTACTTTATGTATTTGCTCAGGTTAAGCAGTGGTTGACCCACCTGGCTTGTAATGGCAGTTACCTCTGAGAGCAGGGTCCCCTCAGTTGTCCAACCACTGACAAGGTTGCCAAACAAAAGACGAATACACCACTAACAACCCCATTGGGTCAATAACTATATTATCATCAACACCAGTACAAGTTCTGTGTAGGTGTTGGAGCAAAGACAAGTCTACAGGGTCATCAGGTGGGCTCACTAAATGGTATTTCATTGAGTCGGGCCCACGACACTGAGAAGGCTCAACAGTGTGTTCTAGTGTCCCAAAGCCACCCTCCTCTTTACCTGCACTCACACACCCTACACAATTGTCCATCAGTATCTACGCTCCTAATAATTCAGGCTGACTGTCAACAAAAATGTATTAAGCCAGGGCAAACTAACAAACACTGCAAATAACCCGCCAACCATTACAAGCCATAAAGCACTAACACTAGCAAACATTTCAAATGCTGTTCTAGCCACCAAACGTTTCAAATAACTCACCACACAATGACCAAATATCCAGTCAAACCTCTGCTTCCTTTTGTGCTGCATCAGAATCCACCCTGTGTTGGTATTCACTCCATCAAACCAGTCAACTTTCTACTTGGCCCTCATGTTAGCCAGCTCATGCTAACACCAGGAAGTAGGCCTCAACCCTGCCGCATGTATCAAACATTTTTGGTAAGCCCGTCCTCCTATGCAAGTTTACTTCATCTTAGCAGGCACAATCTGCACATATGTTGCAGTTTACAGTTTGTTCCGTCCACTTACCTGTCTTTTCCCAGTTCCCACACCTTTCTTCTACTCCAGAGCCACTCACTGGACCATGTTGCACTGTCAGCTAATTTGCTGACTGTCTTCTTCTATAGTTTCTAAATGGCAGCTGGCATCCAAATTGTTGCATTGCTGCCATCTTCCAGTGTGACTAATTATACTACTACATTTACATCCTCTTATCTTATCTTTTAAGTATTTAGATAAACACCTTAAGCCTCTCCCCTTCCCTCCAACTTCCACAACACTTTTCAGTGTCAATCCCTCCAAGGCCAACTTTCTTAGCTCATGCTCTAACTCTTCCCTTCCTGCTCTGTCCTGTTTGTCTTAGACTCCACCCATTCATAATAGTGGAGAATGGAATCATTCCTGGCCAAATAATCACTTAAATCTATAAATCCTGCAGTCAATCAGAACATTTCATACATCCCAACAGCCATCCTGTACTTCACCTGAGTATTTTGACTGGTTATGTTTTCAGTAATACAACATACCTAAACTATAGCTCAATTAAATCCATCCATCCATCCATCCATTTTCTTCCGCTTATCCGGGACCGGGTCGCGGGGGCAGCAGTCTAAGCAAAGATGCCCAGACTTCCCTCTCTCCAGACACTTCCTCCAGCTCCTCCGGGGGAATGCAGAGGTGTTCCCGGCCCAGCCGAGAGACATAGTCCCTCCAGCGTGTCCTGGGTCTTCCCTGGGGCCTCCTCCC